ATATGATGCCCTTTAAAGATTTATTCGTCGGACAAAATTGACTTTACTTTTATTTCACACAAATATAATCTTCAATTTACATAATTTCGTTTCTTCATCGTCCGTCGCCCAAAGATGAACATCACGATGAAATTTAAATAAAAGTTTCATATAAAAAATATTAATACTTAATATTTGTTATAATATTATTTCATTTCTGCCTCTTTTTTTCATTTATCGCTATTCGTCTAATCGTAAGTAATAAAGTCGGAAATTTTAATCATTTCCAACGTGTTATATGACATCGTACTAAAAATTTTTCAAGTTTTATTAATGTATTATATCGTCATGGTGTTCATCTCTAAAACATATATGATGTTCTTTGCGTCTTCTGAAAATTTTATATTTTTATTTCACGATCTTTGTGCGTGTGTGCGAGTGCACATAAATCAAATAAATACACATTCTCCAGTATTAATTTAGCTACTTATTCTATTCTGTTTTAATCCATCCATTTTGAAGCAATGGTTCTAAGAGAATTTATGTTTATTTGCAAAATTATATGTTCTTAAATTCCAACATGTATTTAAAAATGTAGATCTAATGTGATTTTTATATATACAGATCCATTATGTCAATTTAAAGTAAAAGCAAAGTCCTCTATTATGAGATAGGATTCTGATATGAGATAGCAGGTTTTCAACGCTCAAATTCAATTACAAATCTTTTTTTGCAACGATTACACGATCTAACAATCAATTTTCCACTAAACAGATTTCTCTCCAAGAGCAATAAATTCACGATGGAACCAACAGATGATTGCCAATTAATTTAGCAGACACTCCGCCTATCGCATATTAGAAGTCTATCTCATAATAGGGGACTTTCCTTTACCTGCGTCGATTAAACCACCGTCGCCACGTCCGCCTTGATATCCCTTAATCATTGATTGCAGGAACTAACTGATCGCCTTAGGCCGATGATCATTAATTGTTCGCACAATGGACGACACTACACAGAGCACACGATACTCGTACCGCAGAATGATAGTCCGTTTACCCGTGAAAAACAACAGAGAGCAGGTATTTTTCATTGTTTGCTCGTTCAAGGTATGTTAATGGCCTTTTTTTGTCAGACCCGGGCGCGCGTCGCTCGGCAGTTGTGTTTTTGTCGAGCCGCCGCGCGCCGAGGTCACCGAACGTTCTGTGTCGCATTAGCGTTCGAGCCGCCGGTGCGAATGCCACGGGACTGTGTGCGTGATCGTTCTCCGCGTAATTAAACGACGCGACGATTGCCCGATCGAGCTTTTCGATCCCGTACGTACCGCGGCACGTCGTCTTCGTTTCTCGGAGTGTTCTCTCGACTCGTCTCTCGACTCGATACGCGGGAAGCGGACCGGCGAATCGCGGCCGCCTACCGTTCGCGCTTGTTCGACGTGTTCTTCGACATAAAGTGAATACAGAGGAGACCCGTGAGTGCCGATTTCTCGTCAACGTATGAAATTACGCGTTTATTTAAGCGGGCGATATCAAGTGAGAAGTGATATTCGCGTCGCGCCACGCTGACCCAACTCGCGTATTACCCGCCGAGTACCCGTGGTACCTTGCGGTAACGCCGGCAACCGGCGCCATGTTGGTTCATTCGAGAAGTGTCGCGGACACGCAGTGGATCGTTCTCCCACGTCGACGGTCATCGCGACGCATCTCGCGAAAGCACGCACAACGGCGGTGAGTTTGATCGAGTCAGCGATCGCGTTGATGTGACACTCGCGCGCCGACGATCCACCGAGACGCGTATTTCGCGGGGAGCCCGGGTCTTCTGCACCGTCGTATTCTCGCGCGACGCGAGTGTACCGAGCTTCAGTTTCACTTCGTATCTCCTCGCGCGTGTGGAATTTTACGCGCGACGCGCGTCGACGATCCACCGAGACGCGTATTTCGCGGGGTGCCGGATCTTCTGCACCGTCGTATTCTCGCGCGACGCGAATGTACCGAGCTTCAGTTTCAGTTCGTATCTCCTCGCGCGTGTGGAATTTTACGCGCGACGCGCGTCGACGATCCACCGAGACGCGTATTTCGCGGGGAGCCGGGTCTTCTGCACCGTCGTATTCTCGCGCGACGCGAGTGTACCGAGCTTCAGTTTCAGTTCGTATCTGCTCGCGCGTGTGGAATTTTACGCGCGACGCGCGTCGACGATCCACCGAGACGCGTATTTCGCGGGGAGCCGGGTCTTCTGCACCGTCGGTATTCTCGCGCGACGTGAATGTACCGAGCTTCAGTTTCAGTTCGTATCTCCTCGCGCGTGTGGAATTTTACGCGTGACGCGCGTCGAGAGAAGTGCCCGCGCGAAATCCCTCCGTTTACTTACGCCCGCGTTCGGTCCCGTTTTCCCGGGAAACGCGTGAGGTTAGCCCCGCGGTTCGTTCGCTTTTCGCCGAAACGTTCTCGCCAATTTGCGCCATCGATCGTATTTCCGCGATCGCGCCTCTTGCGAACTCTATCGCGACGAATAACGCCGGGAGTGACGTGACACGATCGTAATTATCTCGGCTCTCGCGAGTGTTGTGTTGTGCCAGTGCCGAATGGAGGAATCTGAGAGGAGGCGGCGGCCTGGGAGAGGCATCAGGCGCCAGCGGAGCAACCTTGCGGTAACTATTATATTTTATTTTGTATAAAATGAATCGCTCTTCCAGTTTATTATATCGAGTTGCTTCATATCGTAATTTCGTAGTTTGTTCTTGTGATAATCTCCCGAGGAAAATCTTACGCGATATAATACATATTTAACTAAATACGAAGTTTGATACATGTAAGAATTATAGTTTGTAATATTGGCTTTCACGAACACTGTTTTTATATGACTTTTGTGTTTTTGTGTTACAGACTCAACGTAGTTGCGTAGCTGATGTAACTCCGCTGTTGCGCATCGGGTCGGTAAGCGAGAATTGTTTTTTATGAAGGTAGCGAATCTACATTTCGATAGATCCGATATATTACCTTCGAATGGACGGGTTACAAATAATTTTCTATTTCATCTGATATATTTAATCAATCGAAGAGTAGTGGTAACGTTTTGAAAAGTGAAGGGTTGGGTGTCCCTTTGCAGAGTTAATCTCTGGTTTTTTTACGTCTCTCGAATCATTTATTGATGTATTCGTCGATCAAATTGTTTTGTAACCTTTCCATTTATTTTTGATGTTTTGTAGATTTTGCTTGATACACTTTCAAGATGCGTATTGCATGAACGACATAGTCACACGCATCTTCGCGGTCGGTTCTCGCGATCGGTCTTGCATCGAGAAAGTTTCCTTATTCATTTTTTAAAATTTTATCCACATCTCATTGTTAATTCAAAGTTTTCACGGGATATTATTGAAATCGGTAACGCGAAATAAAATTTTTTGGTATATTTGACTTACGATTTCGAGTTAAAAGAACAGTCACAAAGAAACAATCGATCCATATGTTCAATTAAATAACGAAATTAAATAACGGAATATTAAAAATATATTCGATCAATTTTATGCAGCCAGTTTATAAAGAAATATGTTTTTCAATTAACTTTTTTATCGTGTATTCTTCCGTACGATTGACGCTCGCTTATCATTCGAATCGAACGTAATATTTGTCGATAATGACAGATCGACAATGGAAAGAGTTTCTCTCTTTCCGATTTGTGTCTGGTCGAAATGTGACCAGATTATATGGCCAGGAGCGACAAAAGGTAGGTCCCATCTGGCCCAACGAAAGAAGAATGCATTCAACGAGATAAGTGGTCCTCATAGACCACAAAGACGAATTATAGTATTATATGGAAATTTTTTTTTTGCAAAAGTCGGGTGGGTTTTTCTTACATTTTCTCGCATATATGCGAAAAATCTAAATTAAATCTCAATCGCACGCGAGCTAAAATCCCAAAGCGTATCCTTAGTAAAATCGCGTCGCGGCTTTAATTAAAAATTCGTAGATTTGTTAGGTTTCAACACTGGTAGGGAATAAAACGGATAGATAGGACTATAAATTAGAATTCGAGTAGGCAGGGACAGGGGGATATGGTCTGATAGTTTCGTTATAGACGAAATAATTATATAACTAAATATAATAATAATAAATATAAATATAAATGTATTTATATACTTTTAAAATGCATTGTAAGAGAAATAAGATAAATAATAAAAATGTTAAAAATTGTATCGTAAAAATTAAGAGGACCGCCGAAGGATCGGCGGGGGTGGTGGAGGGCCTCTTTCGAATGACCTATTTGTATCGAAGAAAATTTTTAAATGGATTTAAATTATTATGAATAGAGTCATAATAAAAAATAAAGAAATAAAGAAATAGAGTTTAAAGAGAAGAATGTTATACATATACTGAGCTTATCCAAAAATTTCTCAACAAATAAAATAGAACAAGAAAATTTGCTGGAATTCTTGCTCTTTTCGTCTATTTTATTTGTTGAGGAATTTTTGGATAAACTCAGCATATAATATTCTTCTGTTTAAACTCTATCTCTTTATTTTTAATTTTTTATTATGAGTTGAATATGAGAAGTTGGATACAATCTCGCCCTAATTCGGCCTGTTAAAAACTAGATTGTGCCGAATGAATGAATTTACCAGACTACTGAAATGCAAGGAGTATAACAGATAAATAAAATAAGGAGTAAAGTCGTCTATAAAATCATAGTATATGATTCATTATATTAAATAAAAATATAAGCAATGTAACATTATGTGTTATCTGTTCGAATATTCGTGGCAACGTAATTCAACAATGTACATTTTGTGCCCATAAAGGCACCGGTGGATAGATATCATCTAAAACGTGAGTCCATTTTTAGGCCGGTATTTATAGATCTTATATTCGAGACTGTCTTAAGATCATCTTTAGATACTCCATAGCCAATAAAATGTTCCGTACGGCATCTTTAGATAAATTCAAGACGGTCTTGAATATAAGATCTGACTATGAACCGGCCTTAGACTTTTCTCTTGCTTTTTACTTGAAGAACCTGAACTTACACATTCATCTGAAGATAATGTAGAAATCGCTAAACGAAATATAAACTACCAGATTTTGATATAAAAAGATATATAAATTAATTGGATATCGGACCACATTTAAATTCGATGATATCTAATTACAAAGCTGCGATAAAAGAGAAAGAAGGTACAAAAATAACAAAATATTTAATAAACGGTGAATATGAGAAAGAACTATGTTACATACGGCATGTTAAATCAAGATACTAATTGCCTATTAAAAAAATTGTTTATACATATATCATATTTAGCTATAATTTTCTAATGGACGTTTGAACCTGTCTACTTGTATTAATATAATTACGAGTGTCAGAATAGATGTGGCATACTAAAAGAAATTAATACCCGTTTTTAAATATTCAATGTGTATGTAGTTATTTATGGACTACATATTAGTCCATGACTAATAATTAATAGTTAATAACGCACCTTGTAAAGGAATTCATATCCAAATTGGAAAAGTCTCAGCCCGCAAAACCTGAGTGGCGCTTGTGTTACTTGTAATAAAAATTGTAAAATCTGTATTAAGATGATAGATGAATATTATTTTCGGTTTGCATGAAACCAGAGTTTAATTTAGGCAGTAACGTCTTTTATACTTAACATTGAAGCTTACATTTTCACGTATTTCAACATCACAAGAGAAATACAATACGTTACTTATAACTTTGCGTGTTGCATTTGCCTAAAATTAAAATCAAATTGATATTACTTTCAATATTGTGAAATGTATGTATTCATGTTCAGTTAGCAGTCATATATACAATCACTGAAAACGAATTAAAATAAGCGCATTCTGAATTTGGATGTAGAATCGATACCTTTGCACTGACTCTCTCGCACATATAATTGATCAAGACAATTCTGGAGATATACCAAATGAGCCACAATATGATTATAGTGACGAACAAGATTTTTTTATTAGAGTCGTAATTCCTCACTAATATCGTAACAAAAGCTTCACGGAAAAACTCCGCTATAAAACCGAAATAACATATCATCTTCCAAGTCATTTGTATTTCGAATATTGAGTTTATCTCGTAAGATATTTTCTTTAACTCCAGGTGAAGATGTCTGCGTAAACATAGTGAATTTTACTATGCAAAATCGTTATATATAAATTATTATATTTATACTTACATTATTATCCATGCCATATGTTTACTATTTAGAGCACTCGGAAGTTTGCATTGTGGAGAATGTAACGTAGAATTTTCCATAGCCCGCTTTGTCCTACGTACATTGTCTTTTACCATTTTGCCAAGATGTTCGTTGACTTGATCAAATTTCAATCCTAAGTATCTAATGTAGAACAGATTTAGTAAACAATATTGAAATATGTGCACAAATATACACTATAATTTTTTAAAGTCACTAAAAAAAACTTAGTTTTTAAATATTGTTTTATGCATAGATTACTAAAATAATTTTCATATATCAGTTCTATATTTACATAAAAGGATTTACCAACCCGAGAATACTAGCAAAAATCAAGTCGTCAATAATGTTGACATCGGAACAATAGTTTAATGTAAGCGTTGCAAGGATGGAATTCAGAGCATCATGCACATCGTGCCACCGTAAATATTCGCAACAATTTAATAATGACACTGTTACAGACCATCCTAAGATAATCCATACTGTTCTTCTATTTAATTTATTATAATCCGTTGTTGTTCCGAGTTTCTTCAAAGTGTCATCCACAATAGCGAGTTTTTTTAGACAGTATTTAAATTTCTTATGCAAGAAGTCAATGTATAATTGATTAATATTATTTATTTAGAACGTGTCTACATATAATGTATTTATCATTTTTCGGAAAAGTATGATTTTATTTGAATAATAGATGGAAGTTGCGTCAGTATCAATTAAATGAAAACGAAGAATGATTTTACATGAACATATTGAAAGATATCTTAATAATTTTTATACTTATCTATATGCAAAATAATTTATTATAAAATCTTTTACTAAAAATAAGTAATTATTCTAAGAACATACAAATAAATGGAAGATATTAAAATTACTTTAGAAGCAATTTGAATAACATACAACAATGCAATTGAGAAAATGTATTATTAATTGTGCATATATGGATGTTTAATTTATCTTAATATTTTCTTACCTTATCATAATATATTCCGAGAAATATTGATAATAAAACTGTTAAAAAGTTCGATAAAACGTAAATAATATAAGTGTTGGAGTCATCTGGTATATAAGAAATTACTTTAGCTATCACGAAAAAATAGTAAACCGACCACAGTAACGGAATATATAGGAGACTGAACCAAAGTTTTGGATGTCCCGCGGAAAACTCGATAATTCTCAAACCGCACACTGAACTGATTAACAAGAGTGGTGATAAAACAGATCGAATGCTTTTCGCCATGGCAGATTTCAAACTACACATTTTTTGTTGACCCTCAATGGGCGACGATAACGGATCTCCGTAATTGTAATTGCTGCACTTACGCATATTAGAATAATCGATCCAATAAATTTCGCATTAAAAGCAAATAGGGCAACTATTAAATTCCTTGACTGTTGTGATATAAAACACATGTTTATGAAGCAAAATAAATTTATGACAAATTTCAATTAATTTTATTAATACACATATATTTCTTTTTTTAATTTGATTGATTTTACAGTAATGATACACGCATTTAAAAAGTTATCAAATAACAAATGACATATTATATTTGAAATAAAATACGAGGTATAGATTGCCTTATGCTTTATTTTTGCTTGAATGTATATTTTTATAATTACATGTAATACTTTTTTTAACTATTTTTATATTGAAATTATACTACGATCTTTACATTATTTTTATGAATAAAATATTCATTACGAATGAGTAGAGAAGCTTATAAAATAATATTAAAAATAAAGTAGAAAAACTTTTATGTTATATTTCTCTTTCTCATAAAAACTTTCTTATAAAAAATGAATCTCAAGAACAGTGTACAATTGCCAAATATTTAGAAAAAATTTATAAATTATTTATCAATTATGTACTGAATATTTTGTCTATTAGATATTTAAATGTTGTTTACGTGTTGTTTATGCATTATATGCATTATTATTAAAATGTCATTATTTTTAAAAGTTATTTTTAAGTTATTTATAATTTATCATTCGTATATGCTTGTGTATATATCACTAATACGGTTAAAACAGAAGAGAAGAACTGAAAAAGACAAATTTATATTTCATTAATATTGATAAGTTTATTTTTTAATATTTTTTAAATAGTAAGCACAATAAATTACAACGTACCCCATAAAGGAATTTAAAACCAAACTCAAAAAGTCCAAGCCCGTAGAATTTAAGTGGTAATTGAGTTATTTGCAGTAAAAACTGTAAAATCTATATTAATATAAAAAATTATGTGATTTTTACACTCACGGTTGTTTGTTTTTATTTTAATGTAAATCTATAATGTATTGTATTTATGTATAATAATATTCAGCTAATTTGAAAACTTACATTTTCACGAATTTCAGAATTGCAAGTAGTGTGTGAAAATCTGTTTATAAAATCTCTTGTTACACTTGCCTAAATTTGGAATTTGCAATATAAAAATAGTTCACAATTTAAAAATATTGAAATTTATTATTACTTGTAATATAGTCGAACTATTAAAATTAAATGTTAAATAAATATATTAAGAAATGTTTTGTATGTGGCAAATACCTTGTTGCTGACTCTCTCACATGCATAATTAATGAGAAAAAGTCTGAAGATATACATGAAAAGCCAGAACAGAACTATAATGATATAAAGCATCTTGAAACTTGATATATGATTTTTATAGTATATTATGCGGAAAATTTCTTTCGAAAGCACTGCTATGAGAGTGAAATAACATCCCATTTCAAGAGTCATTTGTATTCCAAATATTGTGTCTATTTTGCGAGATATTTTACGTAACTCCGAATGAAGATGCCTGTTAAATATGACATTGATCTTACTATGCAATGGAACAGTGATTAAATTTACATAAATACAATTACATTACAATCCATATTTTGTTATATTCGTTTCTCGGAGCGTTTGAAAATCGGGACTTATATGGACGTAACATAGAATGTTTCCCAGTAATATTCATTTTGCGTTTGTTACCTTCTGATAATTTCGTAAGGTATTCGTTAGTTTGATCGAACTTTAATTCTATGTATCTAAATAAAAATAAGAATAATATCACATATGAAGAAAAAGATTAATAAATATACATTTGTTTAAATAATAATATGGACTAACCTAAGAATACTCGCAATTATTAGATCACCAATAGTGTTAATGTAAGTGCAATAACTGCGCATAAAGGGTATAACTGTAGCTGCTAAAATATTCGTATTATTATGTCTTATTAAAATGAAACTTTCAAAACCAGTAAACAAAATGAGCATCGTAGACAATCCTAAAGTACACCATAGTATTTTCATTTTTAACTTGTGATAATTCGGTGTTCCAAGTTTTTCCAATGTGTCGTCCACAATAGTAAGTTTCCTTATACAACTTCTAAATATCTAACATAAAGAGACAAAGTGTAGTAAATAATTTGTATTCACAACAATTTTAATAAGATATCTATTTTACATCTTTAAAGAGATATAATAAGATATGAATATTATCTTTATAAATTGCTTTTTTTAAAGAAATAATACTATCAAAAGTGCAGCAAAAAATTAAATGTTTGTATCTTATGACTTATTATTATGCAAACTACTTTACATATGTAAAATAATTTCTTTTTGTAAGGGAGGCATTAATGTAACAAACTGTTGTGCGAGTTATGGGTAAAACATCCGTTGAGTTATGTTTTATTTTACAATCATTTATTTAAAATATTCAGACAAATATTTTCCATGTCACGTTTCTTACCTTATCGTAATAAACTCCTATAGCAATTGATACAAACGCTGTAAGAAAATGTAGTCCAACACAAACGTGATATTCAATGGTATAATAGACTGGATGAAATGTTGCATATAATACAACAAAATTGTAAACGGCCCATACTAACACCACGTACAACAGAAAACTGAACCATTGTTTTAGTTCACCTACGCGAAACGTAACTATTTTCAGACCGCATGCATAACTGATAATCAGTAACGGCGACAAAATTTCTTGAATATTTTTCGTCATAGCGTGTGCTTTTACAATTACGAACTGCACTTTCTTTGCCGACAACTTCGTTGAAGGATAGCGTGTCTTTGTAATTATAATTATTACATTATACTTATGTGTAATGAAATAATCGATTTTATGTTGAATACATAATATCGTGCTTGTCTCGAAACAAAACTCGATGGTCATCGTGTTTTATACGAAGTAAAAACATTCATAACGCTAATATCGATGTTGGTACTTAGTATTTTTATTTTTTGTTTTTATTGTTATTCTTGTAGTGTTATGTTTGTGTAAAATAAATTATGAAATATTGGTGATAACTTTGAGATTTGTAATAGTATCAATTTTAATTATTAGCAAGGTAATAAAATTGACGTCAATGTATAAACGTAAATATTATAATTTTGTAACATATTGCACTTTAAGATAATGATAGAAACATATATTCGATAAAACGTACAAAAATATTTTTATGCAAAAATATTTATAAAAAAGCAGGGGTTAGAAAGTCTTATATTAGATTTAAATTCATTATACTAAAGTGATGAGTTAGAAAAAAAACTGAGGACGGTAAGAAGACGGACGACAAGACGTGGTGTATACGTCTAGTATGCATATGTCGTTGCATTTTTATTAAATCCATCAATCAAAACTAGCAAACTATAGCCAGCAAATTATCGAACGATACGTGACAACAGGAAGAAAATATTTGGTAGAAATAGAATGTAAAGTATCAATTTCATTTACAATTCTTATAAAAAACGATACATTAGTTTACAGCATAAATATATAATAACCAACATATATTTAGAAAAAACTTTATTGAACACCACGCGAACATTTTATTTATTAATATCTGTATTTTTAACATTTTAAATAACTTAAAAGTTATTCATATATTATGTTCATAATCATAATTCATCATAACTGTCTCATACATTTATTTATCCATATGCATCTGTACTAATATAACTAAAATAGTCGCAGTATATTTGAAGAACTAAAAATAATATATATAGTCTTACTTTTTTATATTTTTATTATAAATAAATGTTTAGTGAATAAATATGACAATTATAACGTACATCATGAAAGACTTTATATCCAAATTGGAAAAGTCCAAGTCCGCAGAATTTGAGGGGCGCTTGAGCTATTTGCAATAAAAACTGCAAAATCTATTAACATAATGTACACGTTGTTTGGTTCTGTCTTTTTACTTAAACTCAAATCCATGTGATAATTTTAGCAATATTTAGCAAACTTATTTTAAAATTAACTTACGTTTTCTTGATTAATATCATAATTGGAATAAGATATCTTATTTATTAAATCTCCTGTTGTATTTGCCTAAAAATATGTACAAAATGAAATTAAGATTTTTTTCAATTTAGTTATATAAAGTTGTATTAATAATTGTTAAAAATCCAAATTAAATAATTTTAAATTTAAATATAGAATAATACCTTAGTGCTGATTCTCTCGCACATATAATTAATGAAAAGAAGTTTAATGATGAAATAGAAACACCAAGTTAGAATTAGAACAGAATACAGTATTCTGTTGTTTACATAATCTTTAATAAATATAATGTTGAGAATTTCATAAAAACACTGAGTTAACCAACAGAAGTAACATCCTACGGACATAGTCATCTCTATTCCGAATATTGAGTCTATTTCTCGAGATATTTTACATAACTCCAAATAAAGATGCCTGCGTAAATGCAACATTTTAAATTGGTTGTGTAAACTTACACTTACTGTCATTTATAGAATTTATATTAGTTTTACATTACATTAAAACGCAAATCAACCATTCACTGTTTACAACTTTTGATAATCTGCGTTGACGCGAATGCGATATAGGATCTCCCCAAATCATCGTTATTCCACCTTCATCTCTTGTCAAATTCCAAAGAAATTCGTTAAGCTGATCAAATTTTAATTGTATATATCTGAAATACAAAAGATTAGTGAATAATGCATACTATTAGTAGGTATACACATATTATATTAAAATCTTTAAAAGATTTTTAAAATATATAATCTCTCTTACATATGGTACATATATTACCACACAATGGTTTTATTAATTTATAATTTTAGTAAGATAACTTTTTATATGCAAGGTACCAACCCAAGAATATTCGCAAAAATCAGATTACTAATAAAATTAAGATGACTGCAATAATTTAGCATACAGATGATATAGGTAGTTGCTGTAACGTCATAATCAGTCTCATCTTGAAACCATAGAACCTCTATATAAGTTAATAATGTCACCATTATAATCCAACTCAAGACGAGCCATACCGTCTTCATATACAGTCTGTGGTAATTTGTTGTTGTTCCAAGTTTTTCTAATGTATTGTCCACAATAGTAAGCTTCTTTAAGCAGTCCCTAAATTTCTGACGTAAGACGTAAAGCTTAATAATTCACAAAAAATTAATGCTTACCTGAAAATTTGTCTATTTTATATCTAATAACGTAATTAATTAAGCTTAACTTTGAAATAAACTTGAATATAAATAGCATTTTTATATATTTGTTCTTTGTACGAAACAATAATTTGCTAAATAGATTGAGAAAAGAAATTTAATAAAAATTTATATCACATCATCATGCAAAACATTTTATATTCTTAGTCTGGCAATTTTTTTCATTATAGAAATATAATAGGATAGGGAATAAATTATAATATAAAATATAAAGGTATAATATTTAATATAATATTAAATATAAGAAGTTATAGATTAAAAATTTTATTACTATAATACTTCCATTGATACATCCATTATTAATACAGAGAGATATTTAAGTTTTATTATTTAAAATACAACCAAAACCGATTTATTGCTAATAAACGAGCTAGAACAAAATTTTCTTACCTTATTATAATACATTCCAACCATAATTGACAATGATACTACGAACATATCCACATAAAGACAAATACGATATCCAATATTATAAGTATTAATGTGAATCATTACTGTATATCTGAAGAGAAAATGGTAAATCGACCAGAAGAGTAGTATATACAAGATATTGAAATATCTTTGGTAATATGTTGAAATTTCAACAATTTTTAAACCAGACACGTAACTAATTCTCAAAAGAAACAATAAAACTGACCGAATGTTAGTCATCGCGTATGACAATTTACTATTGCGTATGGTAAAATATTGTAGTTTCGAACAATACTTCTTTTATCAACTAGATGGTTACACCAGTTGCACTGAATAGTAACTTCCGTTGAGACGTGGATAATGGAATAATCAATTTATTTAAGTTTATGCCGTAGTCTATCGGAACGGAATTGATGATGGATGTGTCACTTGTTTTTACTCAGAGCAAATATATATAAAACTCAGATATTAATGTTGTTCATGACATTTTTGTTTTTTATTGTTTGATTGAGGAGTCATGGTGTATATCTGAAAATATTATCAACTGACAATATAATGCTGATTTGAATTAATATCTAATAGTATTGAAAATGTGATAAAATGAGCTCTAGATATAAGAAATATTTATTCTTTTGTTGAAAATTGGAGATAAACAAATTTGATATAATTACAAGATAAAGAATATTTATATCTTGTTCTGTATTTTTGTTATTTCTTTCTTTTAAATACGAAGTTTTTGTCTTGTTACTAGTATAGTAGTATCAAAATCATATGCAAAGAATATTAGAGCACATGTTTTCATACATTATATACAGATTATTATTTAAATTAGTTTTGTAAATTCTATTATAATATCTTATAAATACTTACTTATTTATGTACCCTTGTATTAATATGATTGAAACAGTTGCAATATACCCGATAAACTGAAAATATAAAGAGAATGTATATGTTCCAATTTTAAATATTTATCGCGAAAGTAATTATTGGTAGTACTCTCTCTTATATAATCATACATATAATAAGTGTTAAAGTATATAGATTTTTTCACGTACCCTGTGAAGAAATTGAAAGCCAAATTGGAAAAATCCAATTCCACAGAATCTAAGCGGCGCATAAACTATATGCAATGAAAACTGAGAAATCTGTATTAATATAATGAATCACTTTTAATTAAATTTTGTTAATTATTTATATAAAATTAGATATTAATTGGATAATATTTATTTTAATAACGTTTAGCAAATTTATTTTAAGACTCACGATTTCATAAACTTCAACATCAAAATAAAATAATCTATTTAATAAATCTCCTGTTTTATTTGCCTAAAATTAGATTATGTTAAAATTGAAATTATTTTTGACTCAATAATAAAAAATATTATTTAACAATCATGTTCTCTTTTAAAACAAATTTTAAATAGGAGTTCTTCAAAATTAAATAAATTAATATACCTTGGTACTGACTGTTTCGCACATGTAATTAATGAGCAGAGATTTCAAAACGTTATGAGCCAACCAGACGAAATGTAGGACAGCACAAATATACTTATTAGTTTTCATATAATTGTTGATAAGCATTGTGGAAAAAATTATGCGCAAGTCAATTGCTATCCAACCAAAGTAGCATGCTATTTTAAAAGACATGTGTGTTCCAAGTAATATGTCTATCTCGCGAGATATTTTGCGTAATTCCAAATGAAGATGTCTGTTCACACACAATATTACATTTTATTAAGTAAAATTATTGCATTTAATGTAATTTAGTAATTTATGTATACTTTCTTACATAACAGTCCATATTATGCATTGGTCGCGTAGAGCTTTCGAAAATCTGTGTCGATGCGAATGTATCATAAGATTTTCCGGAGCCAATTTTATTCCACATTTATCACATTTATCTCCCACAAAATTTTGAAGGTATTTATTAATTTGATCGAACTTTAATCCTATATATCTAAATGTATAAAGGAAGTTGATGAATAATGATGTCATTAGCAAGTAAATTTATTAACAAATATATCTCTTAAAATATTTTTTTAAATATTTCAAAAAGCTTAAGTTTTCTTGCATGATAATTTAGCTTTATTAATTTAATTGCATGTAATTGATATAATGTAAAAAAGTTGTGTATGTAAAAAGATATACCAACGCAAGAATACTTGCTGTAATCAAGTCATCGATAACGTTAACATGAAAGGAATGGTTTCGTATAAAGATGAGAAGCAGAGCTGTTGTAATATCACATTCATATTCATGTTCTATGAATAATGCTGTTCCATAATTCATTAATACGACTATTACAAACCATCCCAAGACGAGCCATATTGTTTTCTTACGTAGTTTATCATAGTTTGTCATCGTTCCAAGTTTAAGCAACGTTTCGTCCACAATATCAAGTTTCTTTAGACAGTTTCGAAATTTCTGATAAAAAGATGTAATATATATTAGATAAACTAATATTATTTAATCGAAAATTTTATGATTTGACATAACATTTGTGTCTAAAATCATATGCCTTTTATTTTTAAAAACATTTATTATTAATGACTACATATATTATTATTTTCTTACCTTATTATGGTATATACCAAACACTATTGATAATAATGTTACAAATAAATCTAGCGCATAGCAAATTTGGTACTCAGTGGAAGTATATTTATTAAAAAAAGATACTAACGACGACGTTAAGAGAAAATAATAAATCAACCGAACTAGTAGTATATACAAAAGACTAAACCATAATTTTAAATGATTTCTAGAAAAACCAGCAATTCTTAAACCGAACACATAACTGATCATCAGAAGTGGCATTAAAATGGTTCGAATACTGTCGGTCATTGCACATACCGTTGCTATTGCAAACTGCATTTCTGCTGACCGAATAGTTGTATAAGTAGCATCGAATGGTAAAAAATCTTTGTAATTTTCTTCAGGGCACTTTACGCGATCGATTGAAACAGGATAGATGATGGGTACTACCTGTATCTATCTGTTCTTAGGTAAATCAGATACATTTATATAACAATTAAACTATAAATATTGTTTTTAACATTCTTTATTTTCTGATCTAAGCATTTAATTGTTTTACACCAGAAATCTTAAAATGTTATTAAAAACATCACATGATAGATTATAATTATAAATATTTAGTCTTAATAAATAGATTATACAGGGTGCTACGCAAGACTTTGACGTCCGGTCATGGGAAGGTAGAGGGGACTAAGACAAACAGAAAAGTATTGTACTATTTTGCGCTTGGACGAATAGTTATCGAGATACGAAATTTTAAAAATCGCCGTATTAGCCCAACCTACTGGCGAATGTAAGCGCGCGGTGAGGTGACCGGCCTAGCGGCCCCGCTCGAGGCGGTGTTCGGCGAGGAATAGAATGGCGGTGCGGGGCGAGGAGTAGGGAGGCGAGGCGCGCCGCTGCCCGTCCGCCGCTTACGCGACCGCTCGCACGTCTCCCCGCGCGGGGCCGCTAGGCCGGTCACCTCACCGCGCGCTT